AGCCCAAAAGACAACTTTGTTGAAAATGTACGTTTTACGAAGGGAATGGGCCAATTTTTGCGTCTAGGGGCCCTCTTGGGACGCATGTTGGAGGCTTCTTGGGGCCTCTTGGGGGCGTCCTTGGACGTCTGGGGTCTCCTGGGGCCTCTTGAGGGGCCTCCTGGGGGCCTCCTGGCGGCCTCTTGGGGCGGAAGGCTCGAGCTTGCGGTTCGTGGTCCCCCTCTGGGCCCCCTCTTGGGCCCGTCTTGGGGCCCTCTTGGGCCATCTTGGGCGCCTCTTGGGCCGTCTTGGGGCCCTCTTGGGCTGTCCTGGGGCCCTCTGGGAAGCTTCTTGGGCGTCTTGGGGCGGTCTTGGGCGCCTCTTGGGCCGTCCTGTAACGTCGGAAAGCCCAAAAGCGACTTTGTTGAAAATGTACGTTTTACGAAGGGAATGGGCCAATTCTTGCGTCTAGGGGCCCTCTTGGGACGCATGTTGGAGGCTTCTTGGGGCCTCTTGGGGGCGTCCTTGGACGTCTGGGGTCTCCTGGGGCCTCTTGAGGGGCCTCCTGGGGGCCTCCTGGCGGCCTCTTGGGGCGGAAGGCTCGAGCTTGCGGTTCGTGGTCCCCCTCTGGGCCCCCTCTTGGGCCCGTCTTGGGGCCCTCTTGGGCCATCTTGGGCGCCTCTTGGGCCGTCTTGGGGCCCTCTTGGGCTGTCCTGGGGCCCTCTTGGAAGCTTCTTGGGCCGTCTTGGGGCGGTCTTGGGCGCCTCTTGGGCCGTCCTGTAACGTCGGAAAGCCCAAAAAGACAACTTTGTTGAAAATGTACGTTTTACGAAGGGAATGGGCCAATTTTGCGTCTAGGGGCCCTCTTGGGACGCATGTTGGAGGCTTCTTGGGGCCTCTTGGGGGCGTCCTTGGACGTCTGGAGGCCATCTTCAGCATCTCGGAGCCCTCTTGGAGGCCTCTTGGAAGTTTCTTGGGCCGTCTTGGGCGCTTCTTGGGCCGTCTTGTCTGACTGGGGAGGCCTCCGGCAAGCCCCGACGAGCCTCCGGGCCCCCCGGGGCGCACATTTGTGGTAGAGGTCCCGGCCCCGGGCCCCCGGACCCGGTGCGCCGTTATATGTATACACATGTATATATACACATATGAGTGTGCGTGTGTGCGTTTGTGTGTGTGATTGTGTGTGTGTGCGTGTGTGCGCGAGTGCGTGCGTGCGTGCGTGCATGCGAGCATGTGTGCCTGCGTGCCTGCGTGCGTGGGTGCCTGCGTGCGTGGGTGCGTGCGTGTGCGTGTGCGTGTGCGTGTGCGTGTGCGTGCGTGCGTGCGTGCGTGCGTGCGTGCGTGCGTGCGTGCGTGCGTGCGTGCGTATGTGCGTGTGTATGTGCATGTGTATGTGTATGTGTATGTGTATGTGTATGTGTATGTGCAGGTGTAGGTGTATGTGTATATGTGTGTATGTGTGTGTGCGTGTGCCTCCCACTTTGGGCTGGTTGTCTCGGCCCAGGCTGCCTCGTAGATCACGCTTGACCTCGGCGCCCGGCACGTCTCCCCCCTGGCCGCCCCCTCCGCCCCTGCCGTCCTGGCCAGGCGGTCTCATGCTGCCTCAGTGGCAGTCGCGACCCTGCTTCCCCGGTCTCGCTCGCCGCTCACTGGCTTGGGGGTTGCCTCGCCGGCTTGGGGGTTGCCTCGCCCTTGTCGCGCTCCATGGGCGCCTCGTAGGTCACAGGTGACCTCTGCACCCTGTGTTCCCGCTGTCCGCTGCCTTCGCATTCGTTCCCCAGGTTGCCTCGTAGGTCACCCTGACCTCGGCACCCCTGGCCACCTCGCTGTGCTGCTTCCGCCTCCAGCTCGCGCTGGACCTGTCGCTCCCTCCCCCTGGGCACTTGCCCTGGCGGCCACCCTGGCCGCTACCCCCCGGCTGCTGCCCCGCCGCTGATGCTGGCCCCAGGCCCAAGCGCCCCCCCGCTGCCGCCTGGCCCCGCTCTGAGCGGGCCCGGCCTCCTCTCCCTCCCGCCCGCGTTGGGCCTTCATCCTCTCCTCCCACGCGCATCGCGGCTTAATTCGCATTTGTATGTCCTACATATGCTCTTTCCGCCAGCGCAGTCACTCTGCCTAGCCGCCGACGCAAAAGTGTGTGCGTGCGTGCGTGCGTGCATACGTGCATGCTTGCGTGCGTGTGCGTGAGTGCGTGCGTGCGTGTGTGCGCGCCTGCGTTCGTGCATACGTGCGTGCGCGTGCGCGTGCGCGTGCGCGTGCGCGTGCGCGTGAGCGCGGCGACGGCGAGCACGGAGCCGCCAGACTGGCCCTCAAGCACAGTTCCGTTGAACTGAAGTAAGAACCTCTAATTGCAAGCACTGTTTGGGGAATACAAGCTACGGATGCATATGTAAATTATTCGGATCGTATACATATACATATACAAACGCATATGGATCGACCCCTGCATCTACATACACATATACCTATACATACACATACCAATACAAATACGACTGCGAGTGCATACACGTATTCCTATACATATGCGTATACATAAGCATATGTAAATATATTATACACATACATATACTCATGCACATACAGTTACATGTAAACAAACATATGCATGAACGTATACAGATACACATGTATGCACGTAGGCTTATGCACATGTGTACACATACACATACATGTACACATATGTACATCTACATTTGCGTACACGTATATATACACATAGACATGTGCATACACACCTACATATACACATACCTATTCATGAGCGTATACATATACACATACACAAACAATTACATACACATACGCATATACCTATACACAGACCTATACGCATACAAATACGTGTACATATACGTGTGTGTATGCATTGATGGACCTATGCGTATACACACAAAAGTACACAATTACATACACACACACATACATACATACATGCAACCATCCATACATACATGCATGCATACATACATACATACATACACACGTGTATACATACATACTTACATACTTACATACTTACATACACACACATACATACATACATACACACATATATACATACATACTTACATACTTACAGACTTACATACTTACATAGATACAGACATGCATACGTACATGCGCTCATACACACATACATACATACATGCATGCATGCATACATACATACATACATACATACATATATATACAGATATGCATACACACATACATACATGCATGCATACATACATACATACACACATCCATACATGCATATATATATATACCTATATGTATATAGACACATGCATATATACATACCTACATACGTACGTACATACATACATCCTTACGCACATGCATACTTGCTTATATTATACACTACACACAATTAAAGGGACGAGCAAACGCATACACATGCATACATTGATAGACATATCTACATTGTTTATCAGACCGTCGCCGTACTAGTTGTTTACTCCTTTCGGTAAGTCTATGATCGGGTAGGGACGGCTATGGCGCGCGGTCGTTTGTGAACTTCGAGGTCCGAGCTGTTGAGGTCTGTCAGGAGGCCTCTTGGGGGCCTCTCGGGAACCGTTGGGGGCCTTTGGGGGCCTCTGGAGGGCCTCTTGGGGGCCTGCTGGCGTTCTCGGAGGCCCTTTTGGGGCGCTGGGCTCGAAATCTCAAGTCGAGCTCCCCCTCTTGGACCCCTGACGGCCCTCTGAGGGCCATCGTGGGCCGTTTTGGGCGATTGTTGGGCCGTCTTTGCGGCCGAACGACACACACCCGTACCCATCAGGGAGTCGGAGGGAAGAGGACTGGCTATGGGTCTGGTTCGATTTAAAAGCGCCCTGGGCGTTTTTGTTCAGCGTTTTCTACTTTGGGCTCTTGAACGGCTGAAGACGCTAAAAAAACGCTACGTTGTTTAGCGTTTCCAGGGCTGTTTGTTTGTTGTTTGCTTCATGCTGAAAACGCTAAACGCCAGTCCGAAAACGCTCAAACAACGCATCATGGTTTTTGCGTTTTGAGTTTTTTTTGTTGAGACCTGAAAGCGCCCAGAAAATGATGTCCAAGACGCCGAGCTGAAAACGCTAACAAAAACGCCCTGGGCATATTTAGGTGCGGGCTGTCGGACCCCCGAAGAGGCTCGCTTTCGAGCGGGGACCCCATCCGACAGCACGCACACATAGCCACCTCCGTCCTCCCTGTGGATAAAAGTTCTCTTGAGGACCTCTTGGGCCGTCTTGGCATGATCTGGGGGATTTCTTTTGCCGTCTTGGACGCCGTGAAGGCTGGAAAGTCGCATCAGCCCCAAATGCATGCTTCCTTAAGGGAATGGGACGATGTTTGCCTCTTGGAGCTGTCTTGGGAGGGCTCTTGGAAGCCTCTTGGGGCGTCTTGGAGGCCTCTTGTCCCGTCTGGAGGCCATCTGGAGCGTCTTGGACCGATCGCTCGGCGACTCTGGGCTCTCTTGGACCGTCTGACGGGCCTCTTGGAGCCCTCTTGACACGTCTTGGGACCCTCTTCAAGCACTCTCTGGCCGTCTTGGGCCCTCCAGGGCGCTCGCGACGCAGCCCCGCCTGCGGGCCAGAGATCATGGCAGATCCGTTTTCGATGTACATAGGTACCCGTTGCATTAGTACTGCTCGATGTGTATATATACACACAACGGGAGATGTTTATACACATAATGTACATATATACATAGATAAGAGTGTATATATATATATGACACCCATCGTATAAATACATATTTGTATATATATGTGTATATATCTTGTACCCATACGTGTAGATGCGCGTGTGTGCTTCGCAAGGGCCAGGAGGGACTTGCCAGCCACAACATCGGAGAACAGATGGTCTCCCGTCTGGTCTCCACGTCTGGTCTCCCCGTCTGGTCTCCCCGCGTGGTCTCCACGTATGGCCTCCCCGTGTGGTCTCCCGTAGGGTCTCCCGAATGGCCCCCCGCAAGGCCTCACATACAATCTCCCTTGGGATCTGCCTCGCGGCCGCCCTTGTGGCCTCCCTTTCTGGTCCGGGTCTTCCGTTTGGTCTCCCTCGGGGTCCCTTCCGGCCTCCCGCGTGCGCAGTCCAAGGCAACGCTCACGTCACTCGTCCGCTCTTCTGTTCAGCGTCCTCTGCCGCCCAGTTCTGCATTTCTGACCATCGCGCTCACACCGCGCATAGTGGATGCGGCGCCGCGCCGCGCCGTTCCCCGCGTCGCGCACTCACTTGGCAGCCATGGCCGCGAGCTTGGCCGCCTTCTCCCTGACGTCCGACATGCCGCCGATCATGTAGAAAGCGGCCTCGGGGATGTCGTCGCAGGCGCCAGACAGCACCTCCTCGAAGTCGTTGATGGTGGTCTCGAGGTCCACGAAGGCGCCCGGGGTGCCGGTGAAGATCTCGGCCACGAAGAAGGGCTGCGACAGGAAGCGCTGCACCTTCCGAGCGCGCGCGACGGTGAGCTTGTCCTCCTCGCTCAGCTCGTCCATGCCGAGGATGGCGATGATGTCTTGGAGGGACTTGTAGTCCTGCAGGATCTTCTGGGTGCTGCGGGCGATGTCGTAGTGGCGCTGCCCGACGATCGAGGGGTCCAGCATGCGGGAGGTGGAGTCCAGGGGGTCGACGGCCGGGTAGATGCCGAGCTCCGCGATCTGGCGCGACAGCACCGTCGTGGCGTCCAGGTGAGCGAACGTGGTGGCCGGAGCAGGATCGGTCAGGTCGTCAGCGGGCACGTAGACGGCCTGCACCGACGTGATGGAGCCCTTCTGGGTGGTGGTGATGCGCTCCTGCAGAGAGGCCAGGTCCGTGGCCAACGTGGGCTGGTAGCCGACCGCGCTGGGGATGCGCCCCAGCAGCGCCGACACCTCGGAGCCCGCCTGGGTGAAGCGGAAGATGTTGTCCACGAAGAGCAGCACGTCCTGGCCCTCCTCGTCGCGGAAGTACTCGGCGACCGTGAGGCCGGTGAGCGCCACGCGGGCGCGGGCTCCTGGCGGCTCGTTCATCTGCCCGTACACCAGCGCGGCCTTGGACCCCTTGGCCTTGTCCTTTTTGATGACGCCGCTGGCCATCATCTCATGGTACAGATCGTTTCCCTCACGCGTCCTCTCGCCGACACCTGCGAAGACGCTGTAGCCACCGTGCTTCAGGGCGATGTTGTGGATGAGCTCCATGATCACCACGGTCTTCCCCACACCAGCGCCGCCGAAGAGGCCGATCTTGCCACCCTTCGCGTACGGCGCGAGCAGGTCCACCACCTTGATGCCCGTCAGCAGCTGCTGCGCCGTCGTGTTCATCTCGGTGAAGGTCGGCGTGGGCCTGTGGATCGCGTAGAACTTCTTCGTCTCGATGGGCCCGAGCTCGTCGATAGGCTCGCCGATAATGTTGATGATGCGTCCCAGGGTGCCCTCGCCCACTGGCACCTTGATGGGGGAGCCGGTGTCCTGTACCGCCTGGCCGCGTGTGAGCCCGTCAGTGCCGTCCATGGCAATGGTGCGGACCATGTTCTCTCCCAGGTGCTGCGCCACCTCAAGGACCAGGCGGTGCTCGAAGCCCGAGACCTCGAGCGCGTTGAGGATCGGGGGCAGTGCACCTTCGAACTGCACGTCCACCACGGCCCCGATGACCTGGGACACCTTGCCGCGGCAGAGCTCCGGACCGCGCGCAGTCAGTCCCCCGAGGCAGTCCCCGCTGGCCTCAGCAGGCCCCGAGGGTGAACCAGTTGGGCGCCCGAGTTATGCGGGGTAACTCGGGCCCGGGGTAACCCGGGTTCGGATTCCCGAAAAACGAACCCGAGTTAGCCCCTGACCCGAATTACCCCTGATGATTCGGGGCTCTGGACGCCCGAGTTATGCGGGGTAACTCGGGCCCGGGGCAACTCGAGTTCGGATTCCCGAAAAAAGAACCCGAGTTACGCTCGACCAGGATAGTAAGGATGCGCGGTAAGGATGCAAGGGCCTTGGAACGCCATGTTGACGTTTTTTCGTGCGGAGCGCAGCAGAATGCCGAAGAATGCCGAATACCGAAGGGGTAAGAATGCAAGGGTAGCCTTGCAAAATTGCCCCATCCTTACTATCATGGTTGACAGTAGCCCTGACCCGAATTACCCCTGATGATGTGGGGCCCGGCCCCTGTGGGCCCGTCGAGGCCAGCCGGGGCTGCCTCCGGGGGCCACCTGTGCTCCACTCCGAGGAGCCTCGCCGCAGCAGCACCCGAGGAGGCGCAGGCACAGACTCTCCGAAGGTCGCGTGGCCGGTGCCTCGGGTCGGCGCTGGAGCCCCCAGGCGAGGCGCCCACGGCGCTGGAACGCGCCAGGGGGCTCCAGCGCCGACGCGAGCAAGCCGCGCAGGGCCACTGAAAGCCCACGCTTGCGCTATTCTGTTGTGACTCGGCGCCACCTTGCCGTTGGCAATGGGGGTGGCCTCCGCCGCAAACGCCCGCCGAGGCCGCGCGCAGGCCAGCGCCGGCGCCGCGCGGCGCGGCAGCGCCCCTGCGGCCCGGCGGGCGCCCGCGCGCGCCAGGAGGGCCATGCTGTGGCGCCGGGGCGAGACGAGACCTTGGCAGCGCGCGCGGGGTCGCGGGCGGAAAACATCCCCAGACATGGCGACGAGACCTCGTGCTGAAAAGCAAACCGGGTGCACACTACCAGTCGGCGTGGGAGGCCCCAAAAAGGAGCGCCTGTGCGCCCCCAGGGCCATCGGGAGCTGGGAGGCTTCCGTCGGGCACCCTGCTGGCACGCCGGCTTCGCGCTTGACGTGCCTGCCGTATCTGAGGCCTTGCGGCCCGGACTCCCCGCCTTCTGGAAACCTCTGGGGGCCTCCTGCGGGCTGGGGGAAAGGGCAAGAGAGGGGGGAAGAGGCAGGGAGGGAGGGAGGGAGGGAGGGAGGGAGGGAGGGAGGGAGGGAGGGAGGGAGGGAGGGAGGAGGAGGAGGAGGAGGAGGAGGAGGAGGAGGAGGAGGAGGAGGAGGAGGAGGAGGAGGAGGAGGAGGACGACGAGAAGCCGCGCCCACAGTGGAAGCAGGGCGGCGTCGAGCAAACGCCCCCCGCGGAACGCCTCCGTGGGAGCGCGTTCCCGTGAGGTCGCTCCTCGGGTTGCCAGGCCGCGAGGGCATGGACACGGATGTGTTCGTCGCTCGTGACGTGGAGAGGGAGGGGGGGGCGCCAAGGCGGCTCCCGACAAGGCAGGGGCCCTCGAGGACACCCCCCTCCCCGGCGCCTAAGTGGCCTTCCCAGAGGTCACTGGGCCCATCCGAGAGGCCTCTGCTCCTCCTCCTCCTCCTCCTCCTCCTCCTCCTCCTCCTCCTCCTCCTCCTCCTCCTCCTCCTCCTCCTCCTCCTCTTAGTGGCCATCCGCATTCTTCGAAGGCCGCCCCCCCCCCACCCCACACCCCCCTCTCCCCACCCGTGCGCGCCGCCGAAGACTGGGGAAAGGCTGCGGGCTGCGGGCGGTAAAGAACACCAGCTCGAGCCACAAGTTGGCGTGAGCGGGGACGGCGGTGAAGAGAGGAATCTCAATACGGCAGGATCCTGCCATCGCGGCCAGGGCCTTAGCCCCTGTCGCCGAGGGCATCATCGGTAGACGTCGAACGAGCTCGGCTGCAAGGGGTCGCCAAAGGCTGTCGGGGATCCTGGACCTTGAACACCCGCGCCCACGACGCCGCCGCCGCCGCTGCGCCGAGATTGGGGGCTCACGACGGTCCGGTAGTCCGTTTTCCGGGGTGCAAACAATTTCGGGTGGCCGACGACACGGCCCCCAAGAAGCAAACACTGGGCACGGGAAGACGGGGGCGACGACCCACTAGGGCGGGTCCCCAGGCGCCACCCGGCGAGGCCGCCTGGCGACGCACAACTTTGGTGTAGTACCCGAGACCAACCGAAAAACAAAAGAAACAACACGCCAAAACAGCCCATCTGGCAACTTGGGCGCACACTCCCCAACAATGGGATACTACAGGACACAGGAGTACACACAAAACAATTTTGGCACGAACATTCCGCGATCATCCCTTAGACTCATTTGCCTGGCCGCCCTCTCGCAACGGCCAAAGCGCCGTCCCTCAATCATGCGTGTGTCGTCGCTTCCTCGGCTCGCCCAAGCGAATCAGTACCCACCGCCGCTGGGGAGAAAGATGTAGTAATCCAGCCCCCCGAGGGATGACACAAAACCTGTTGCACCCTTTTCAGGGTGGGGGGAATCCGCGCGGACGTCATGGGTCGACGCTGGATCTCCCTCTCCTGGCGCGCGAAGCGTTCCAGGGGCGGCGCCGCCACGGGGATCCAGCGCCGACCCTACAAAACCGCGCGGCCCTCCGAAACTGCATGGTTGTGCGTTTTGTTCGTTCTTCGGGGTATAAACGGATGCTGGCGGTGGCTGCGGCGTCCACTACCCCAAAGCCGCCTCCTCGGGCACCAATCCTTGCTGCCTCCAGTGCAGCCGTGGCCGCGCCGGCTGGTTGCCACGCGGCGCCGCCAGCCTCTTCGCGTGCAGGCAGGGGGAGGGGAAGGGGGGAAGGGGGAGGGGCCCGCTAGGTGCGTTCGCGCCATATCTGACATCTTATCCCTGTCACATATCCCTTCCCATTGATTTCACGTGTTCCATATATCATCCGATGCGTGTCATAAAGGACCTGGAACTCCAAAATCGACCCTGCCGTGCTATGTGCAAATCGAAAGCAACGGGAGCTGGGTACACTGGAGGAGGAGGACGGCGAGGAGGACGCGAATGAGCAGGATTAGAAGGAGGACGAGGAGGATGACGAAGGACGAGGAGGACGACGAGGACGACCAATAGCAGCAGGAGCTGAAGTAGAAGGAGCACGAGGACCAGGGGAAGGCGGAGGAAAATAATGGGGGGCGACAACTATGAGTAAGGACTCGGATCCAGAAAAGTGCCCCGCGCATGGGAGAGAGCGCCAGTCCAAACGACGGGAGGACAACACCGATCCTGAAATGAGGCCCACAGTGCAGAGGAAACACCATCTTGAAATGACTGAGAACGTTCGGACTTGTAGGATACACATCAGATTTTAGCCAGTGGGCCCCAACCAATGCGTTTTTGCACTGTGAAGGTGAACCTTGTGCGGTGTAAGCTACGTGGTGAGAGCTGTCGTGGAAGCTATATGGTGTGAGCTATGGAGGGCGAGTGCTACACGGTGTGTGCTATGTGGTGTAAGCTACGTCCTGTAAAACGTCCAGTGTGAACCGAACGTGGAAGCTATGGGGGGTAAACGAATTTCTGTTCGCGATGACGTGTCCACTCCAGTGCTCGCGCAATCATCCCACCCACCCACCCGCAATTTGATTTGCAAAACCCATGCGGCGGCATGGGCCGACTGCTTGGAGTTGGCTGGTGCATCTCTGCGGCCGCGCTAACCCGCGCATGCTCGCGCGCGCAGCGGCCAGCTAGTTTGGCGCGACCGACGCGGCCGCGGTGGCGCCGACCTTCCCAGGGGGGCGCTTCAGTGCGACTCGGTGGCTGGGGCGGGCGCGGTACCATGGCAACGTCGACAACGGTAGACGCGATCTTCTTACACATACATATATTACATTTACTTATTATATATATATATATATATATATATACTAGAACCACACGCGCGCTTCGCGCGCGCTTAGGTTCTAGTCGACCCCATCCCTTGAGGAGGTCCCGTATCCACTGAAGTGATTACCCATTGATGGTGTAAGCATGAGGTACAAGAAGCATCCATAATGCTGGCCGAACAGAAACCAAGTACCGACAATGACATCTGCTCCTTAATCCGCCGACCCTGTCGGCGTGTGTGAGGCGCTCTTCCGTTTGTCGTCGTCGGTGTCGTCGTCGCCGTCGCCGTCGTCGTTGTCGTCGTCGTCGTCGCCCTCGCCATCTTCCCCCTTTCCCCGGGCCCTCTTCCTCAACCGATCCAGCCAATACGAAATCGAATCGAACAACGAAGGGAAACACCTTCCCTTGATCCCTTCCCCAGCGGGGGGTGGTCCCGGGGCAACTCCCGAGGGTTGGTCCCGGCGGGTGGTCTCGGGGGGTGGTCCTGGGGGGTGGTCCCGGGGGGTGCCCTGGGGCCCGTGGGGCTCCTGTTATTGTTTTGCCGATCCCGAATATGTGGCGGAGGGTCCCCAGGACCCCCCCCAAGAACCGGGGGGAGAGAGCCTCTCCTCCCTTCCCCCCAGCGTCCCCGCTTTGCCCCCCCTTCCAAGCGTCCCATGCTCCCCCTGTCCACAGGAGGGAGCCCCCCCCACGGGCCAGTCCACCCCTCCACAGGGGGGAGCGACCCCCCTTGGTCGTCGTCGTCGTCGTCGCCGCCGCCGTCGTCGTTCAGGGTCGGCGGCACTGGCAGTAAGGCCTCTCCAGTATTCAATTCGAAGCTATGCAAGCCAGTTTAGCCAAACACATGCAAGGCTATGAATGCAATGCAAAGCAAAGGAAAGCGATGCTCATAAGTGCAATGTGGATCACGAAACAATGCAATTGCACATGCAACGGAAAGCAGCCCAGTGGAACGCAATGCAATACAATGCACGATAAGACAAAAGACCGAGAGAGTCCGAGGCGTCACGGAACTCAGAGATCCCAGGGACGAGCCGCCCTGGGAAGAGCCCAAGAGGACCCCAAGGGGAGCCCAAGACAGGGTCAAAGGGCAACCAAGAACATCCAATGAGTTCTCCGAGAGAGGCTAAGGGGGGCCCAAGCGTGGCCCCGAAAGAGCTCCAAGCAGGCTCCAGAACGAAGCACAGGAGGGCCCCAAGAGGCGCCCCAAGAAAGCCCGAAGATAACGACAGAAAGAGAGGGTCCAAGGAAGTGCCTCCTCAGCGCGACAAAAAAACGCAGAGGCCCACAATGAGCCCCAAGAAGGGCGTTCTCAACAGCCCCATCCCTTGAGAAGGTCACAGCTCCACTGAAGCAGTGACCCACAACTGGCTTGAGCTCCAGGTGAAAAAGTACCGATCATGCGGATGGAAGCGAGCCTACGGCCCCAGATGAAGGCGGGGTTCACATGGCGCCCCCCGGTCAATTTCGGCACGGCACTCGCACGGATCTTGTCCCCCTGGGAGCTCCTGTTTCGGGTCCAGGGATCAAGTTCGCACGGCGTCGCTCCGCCCATCTCGGCACACCCAGCACACGAATCGTGCCCCAGAGGGATGTCGTTTCACGTACGTCCTTAGTGTGTGGATTCGCATAACGTCACGTCCCCCCCACGCGTATGTCGACTGTCTCCTCACACGAAATCGTATCAACAGGGAGCTCCACCGACGGTTCCAGAGCCAACGTTTGCATCCCGCCGCCCCGCCCATGGCAGTAAATACGCCCCTGACCTGGATCGTGAGCTCAGGGCGTCTTGGGTGCTTCTGTGGGCCACGCGGCATGTTTCTGTGAGGCCTCTGAAGCCCTGAGATGGATCGTGAATCGGGAGCCTCTTGAAGCCTTTTCTGGGAGCCTCGTGCAGGACGTCGAAGCGAGACCTCCCATACGCTTACGGGTGACTACTGGGAAGCCTCCTGGGACCGTTTTGGGAGCGTTTTGGGAGTCTCTGGGGGCCTCTTGGGACCTTCTTGGGGATCCTTTTGGGGATATTTAGTGCTCTTTGGGGCCCTCTTGGCCCGTCCCGGGGCCCTCTTGGACCGTCTTGGGCGCTTGGGCCGTCTTGGGGCCCTCTTGGGGCCCTCTTGGGCCGTCGAGGGTGCCACCTGTGGCCCTCTTGGGGCTCCCTGGGGACTCTTTTGGGAACCTCTGGGGGCCGTCGTGGACCAGTCGGGGGGCTCTCATGGGCCGTGTTGGAGCTCTCTTGGGCCGTTTTGGGGCCCGCTTGGGGGCCTCTTGGGTCGTCTCACGGCCGTCTTGGGGGCCTTTGGGTCCGTCGTGGGCGTTGTTAGGACCGAAGAAGCGTATATGCTAAAAACGAACGTTTTCCGAAAGGAATTTGGCTGTTTTTGCCTTTTGGTGACCTTCTGGGAGGCCTCTTGGGCCGTCCTGAGGGCCTCTGAAGCCAAAAAATTAGATTTCCCGCTGGTTTGTGAAAGATTCGAATCCCACCAGCCCTCTGGGCGTCGGTGGTTTAGAGCGTTTCTTCTTCCACCCCTCCTTCTTCCCCTCCGGGGAGGGGTTTACCCCTCCCCCCACCCCCTCCCCACTGAACTGACCTAGACAGGGGGGGCCGCGACGCGTTGGAGCGTCCAAGATGAGCCAAGACGACTCCAAGAGGGCCTCAGGGAGCCCAAGATCGCCTCCAAGATGGTTCTAGATAGCGCAATATGCCTCAAGATGGTTCCGAAGATGCTCCAAGACGCTCCAAGACCGCCCCAAGACGGCTCTAAGTGTCCACTAGAGCTCCCCTCGGATGCCCCCAAGAAGCCAAAATGTTTCAAAACCCTAAGGACAATCAATGTTTTTGGCGTTCTCGCGCTTTCGCTTCCGATGCCCACCCGAGGCGTCAAGATAGCTCCAAGATGGCTCAAGATAGCTCCAAGAAGGGCCCAAGAAAGCCCGAAGACGGCGCAAAGAGCGCCCAAGAGCGC